CAGTAACATTGTACTAAAAGACATTTAGAAGATGATAAATTAGTCTGATTAAATGACTAATCTTATTCTATTGAAAGTATTTGTTCATTATCATTATTATCTCTTCCAAAGAGATAATAATATAATGATTATTATAGATGAAAATAATTGCTGTACAACTTGTATAAGTTTTACAGAAATAACTATTTCTGAGAAGTACATTGTTGATTTATAACTTACTATGGTAGTAAAACAGTACTATTTTTTTCCCTCAAGGTAGCAGTCTAAAGTCACCATGGAACCTATAAAATTATTAGATGCTACATCCCACCCCTCAGCATTAAAATAACTCTTTAGAAGCTGGATCAGCACCATACACTTGATAGAAAAGAAGTACAGAAAACTGTTTTCACATTCCCTTTCATGTAAACAACTTGTGCTATGACTTTAAGCTACTTACAAGCCCTTGTGAGTACAACTCTACTCAGGTTAGGAAAAATTCATAATATGGACTAGTTCATGTTACTTATAAAGTGGCTGGTTTTCTTTTAGTCCAAGATTTTTTTTTCCTCCTCCTCTCCTGTCTAGTATTAAGTTATCTCTTATGGTGAGAATTGTATAATTGCCACTGGAACATTTTTCTGGAGATAAATACAGATATCTTCATGCTTTCTTACTTTGTTTCACATAATTTCCAGTTTTACCCCCAAGTATAATGCTATCTCACACACAACATGGTATTAAGTATATTTCAAATGTCAGGTGACAGTAAACTAGACAAACTTCTTATTTAATAAAACCTATAAAAATTAAATCATTTGAACATCTTTTTGTAAGGCAGTTTCTGTCAAGTATTTATAATGTTCTTCCTTGAGGTTTATCCAGGTATCTTTTTAGTCACCAGGTGCTCACAATGAAACACAATTTCTAAACAGAGCTGTCCTGTGGGTTACACACAGGGACAGTGCTGCCTGCCTGTCCAACCTATATTCTCCCTGTGGATTCCATCTCTAATTGGACTGGACTTTTTGCTGATACACAATATAATAAACTTATGTCTACACTACAACCAAATTTTCACAATTGTATTTCATTGCTATCTTTCACTCTCAGAGTGAACACTTGTATTAAACAACTTTCAGAAGATCCTCTGGTTAAAATATCAGTATTGATGTACTGAAAGGATTATTTAACTTTTGTTACCTTTCTATTCAAATCAGCAAATCCCCTCCAGGAGCCATCTGTTCCATGAATGGTAAAACTAGCACAAGATCAGTTTTCCATTATTTTTCTGTTTCCCCTCACCATTACACAGTACCTTCAGTTTCCTATTCTCTGGGTTATCTAAACACACCAAACTGCTGTCACACAACAGCATATACTGCAGCTTATTTTGGAAATTTGGAAAAATTCAGCTGAATTTAAAAACTTTTCCCACCAAGACTGAATTATTTTGCTACTTGATATCCATCACCAAATTTTCACAAACATTGAAAGAAGCTAAACTCTCAAACATGCTTGAAATTGGTGAAATGTTTCAGATTCTATTTTTGGAGGAATAAAGTACTGCTGGGAAATCTCATAATCAGTTTGACCATATAGCATCATAATGGCTAAAAAGAAAGTATTTCTGAAAATACAACACACTCCCTCATCTTAATTTACCTTTCCCAAAACAAAAATGTTTTAAGTAAGTGAAAATATTATGTCTCCATAATAGGCAATGCAGCTACTGCAGGTCTCTACATGAGAAATCATACCAGACTATTGATTTATGCAATGCTCTCACAAGATATGGTTATAAAGAGAAGCAGTGACCAGTTCTAGACAAGAAATCTGGTTAGCATAACACTGTACACAGACGCAGTGTGTAGTCCATAAACATAAATGAAGATCAACGAATATTTTCTCCTCCACAGCAGAGAAGATGAGGGAGTAAAATAAGATGTCCAATTGCCACGGAAATGGGAGTTTCTTCAAAACACCGCAGCAAGAAAAGTCCTCAACACTGGCACAAAAAGCTAAATAAACAAAATTGTTCTGTGCATCAGTTTTCTAACATTTGAAAAAAATTTTGTTTCAGAAAGATCAAGTTAGCTCACCAACTAAGGTAGAACTTTCTTGCCTGCTTCTTAATGACACCTGAGGGATCTACTCATAGTTTCTCAAGAGCTTTTAAAGATCAGTCAAGTTCTCAAGCAATTATGATGGGACTGTCAATTCCATCCAATCTCAAAATTAAGTTAATTTCCCAGAGTTCATCTAAATTGTCTCTATACATATACAGTTATATACATCTCTTGATCTGCTGGCAATATATCCTTTTTTTCCTAAATCACAATCCCTTTTTTGAAACAAAGAAATGGAAGGTATAATTGAAAGGAAACATCATTCTCTATAACAATGGACAATTGCTGTGTCTCTTCTGGGAAGGCCTTTGAGATAGCACAATAATAAAGACTGTCACCACTAACTTGGAGCAGATTGTTTCTAGTGACTTATGAGCTGGGAAAAGACTTCAGGATTCATTACCAATTCCCTAAAGCAGTCTTTTCCTCAACTTTTAATGTATTAAGTGTAAACACATCTGTTTAATACATTTGGTATTCTAAACACACACATTGCTGGATTTTTTAGTTCAGGGAGATAACCAATTAAAAGGAATTTAATTAGTGTGATAGTAGAATGCAACCTAGTATGAAGTAAAATTAAAAACCATCACAATTACAAAACATAATTATATAAGCCCCTCTCTAAACAAAAAGCAGTGTCTACAGTTATTTTATGATGACACAAGGTTCAAAAAATGGCATTAGCAAATTGATTCAGCCAAGCCCAAATACAAACATTTTGGTACATACAGTGGTGTGTTTTTATCTGAACCATTTTGCATAATATTGCTTAGTCAAATTTAAACTATAAGCATCAAATGCTATTTTTGATATTTATTGTCTTGTTTCTGCACTGTATTTTCTGCTCAAAGAAGGGTGGGTTGCATCTCAAACTACTCAAAACTATTACCTGTCAATTCAGAAGAAAGCTATTTCTGCCATTCTAAGATGAAAACAATCTCTCACTTCTCTTTCTCTTTTTGGTTTGGGGGGGTTTTTTGTGCATTGATAGGTAGGCAGTTTTTTTGGTTTTTAATAGCCTTTAACATCTACTTAAATCATACAAAAAAGCACCATTAAAAAGTCTAGTCCAAGCACTGCTTAAGTCTACAGGGTCTGATTTCTCCTTCAAGACTTGTCCTAAAATACTCTGTCAGTTCATCTTATTCCTTGTGAACAGGCTTCCTTTCAAAAAGCCCACTGTCACACCCAGAACTAACCAAGCACCTTGAAGGTGGCCTCCAGTGCATGGTGCTGTTTGCAAAGCCTCTTTAGCATTCTTAAATTATTATGACATTGGAAGGACTAATATCTTAGCCTGTCATTTTAAATATTACTCAAGCATATATTTTAAATACAAAGACATCTGCACTCTATCCTTGTTCTCTTTTCTGACTGCAGACAGACAAGGATCACTGCTTCCATGATTTTGCCTGTGGAGTAGAACTGACAAGTAATGTCCCAAAAGACCACTTACTTGAGAGACTGCAACCTGTAAGGGACATTTTATCCTCAATCCTGCATCCAAATAACTGGATAAAGAGGTAGAAAAAGATCTGCCAAAGTTCCAGCTCTGATATGAACTTCTATGTACAAAGACAGGGTATAAGAATAATAATAAATATAGTATAAGCAAAAATTATATTTTAAAAAGTATTTAAATATACAGAACACTACTCTCAAACAAAAAATTTCCTGCAAAATGTTAAAAACCCAAAAGATATCAGTGAAAACAAAATAGGCATCTAACAGAGGAAAAAGAAGAAATAAATGTAGATGGGATAAGAAAAATTACAATTCAGTGTGCCTGAGGGCCATGGCAGCATGGTTTTGACACCTCTGACACCTCTATTTTTAAACTGATGTTTAAAAGAGCAGAATAAATTCTCATCAACAGCTTCTCTTCCCAGCTGTAAGTGAACAAAACAAATTGATTATTTCAGAGAAGCTGAAAAAAAGATGGCACATAACTAGTTACACCAAACTCTTACTACACTTTATATACCCCAGCTATCACTCACAGATCCAATGTCACTCAGAAATTGTGCAATGCTTCAGCAATATTTGGATAAGGAATTAAGGCAGCCTTGCAATCCTCTTACCTTTGCTCACTAAGAGCTATAAGCATGTCTTCCAAGGTATGTGACTTGAATATTTAACATATTACAAGGTCTCACTCTTGAAGCCATTTTAGGATTTAGCGATTTCTAGGGAATAAGTATCAATCATTATCATTCTGGCACTAGGAATTCACAAGCAACAATTTCAAAAATGGCAAAATTAATTATGTTCAACTGCCAAATGCCTGAGTTCTTGACTCTTAATTCAGAGGAACAACCAGCAGCTCCCCTCATGGCTTGGACCTTTTAATTAGTTATCACAGCCTGCAGGCAAAATATTCTCACAGGTGTAAAGCCTTCACATGTGGTGGTGGTAATTGATACTGTTTACATACACCTTTCTAAAAATTTAAACATACATTTCCTTATCTATAAGGATATTCTACATATAGATGAATAAGTTACTACATTACTGCAGCTAGTTTATTTTTGCACCAACTTAACCCACAGTAACCACCATGTGTTGAGAACAGGCAACATCAAAATAGGGAGGCAACCAACTACTGCAGAGTAGCTCGTGACTTACACCTTGTTCCTTACTTCATTGCAACTTCCCTGTCTGCTCCAAGAGTAACCATGAAGAAGGAAGTCACTGGACTAAAAGTTACATGCAGGAGTACTTACCACAAATATAGGATTACCTATTATTATAGGATAATAGGATTACCTATAGGTAATATATAAACACCTAGATAGATAGATAGATAGATACACCTATATATATATATATATATTTATATATATTTATATGTACATAAATACCTATAGGATTACCTATATTACAGGATACCACTACTTATACAAGTTTGCAGATTTCTTGACTTCACTTTGCAAGACCAAAGTCAGCTACAATAATAAAAAAAAGGGGCAAAGATTAACATCTCAATAGCCACCACCTCCACTGATTGATGACAATCAGTGCTCAATCACAACAGCTGAAAAGCTGGGGAGGGTGGAAGGGAGGTTTGGGATTTTTTATCTTTTACATTTCACAGAACTGGACTATAATATCTTTTTATCTCTACATTCATCAGCAACTTACACTTGAATTAAGCCTATCTGCTTTAAAAATACCATAAGCACACTTCTGATGGTTTCAGAGTAAACTATATGACCAGTTTCAGGTTTATATTAATATATTTCAACAAACTGTATGACAATGCTATGTATCTAATAAGCAGTGACCTCATACTAATCTCTAATAATCTAAATCTATGGTAATTAGTTTTCTTTCCTTGAAATTATGACAATTGGGAAGGGTGGATTTGCAAGAAATTTAATTTCAAAGGAGCATGGGGATGGGGGAGTCTAATAGCTTGGTAGTTCATGTTCAAAAATGAAATTTGGTAAGAAATAACGGTGAATCTTAGCCTTAGCTTGTGAAAAAAGCTGTAGATTTAGATGGTCATGTAATTATGTTAATAAAGTGCCTTGTGTAATTATCAGGTAGTCGTTGACAAAATGGCACACACAGTCTTTAGAGATTATATTTTTAATCAAAGTTCCATGCAAACAGTTCAAGTTTGTTTTTTCCAATTCAATATTCTACTGCTGCCTCCACACAGCAATGCAGTTAAGATGCATCACACTTCATTAAGTCCAAGCACAAAGAGCAGAAAACATTATTGTACTTCATAAATCCTGTTAATAATTTTTGTATTGCAATGCAACTTCAGAAGATGATTTTTGTTGTAAGTAACAAATCACAATGTTTAAAATATTCTAAGAACTTCTGTTCTACTTGGACAGAGCCCATAGCATGCCTATTCTAATTGCTTTCACTCTGACACAGTTCATAAAAATTTTATTTCAAAATGTTACTACCCATCAAAAGAAGCTGGAGATGAGAAGAAATACAGGTAAGAAAAATTAGTTTCTGTTGGCTCTTGCTCAGTGCGAGCCTTCAGGGTCTGAAAAGTTCTTGAATTCAGAAAGGGCCTTTGATAAGAAAGCCAAATCTAGACGCTCAAGCCACAGATCATTTTTCTTTGAACAAAATGTCCAAAGAAGGACTAGCTCTGCAGTGCTTGGCAAATGTAAGTAGAAAGAATGCTAAATTACAGGATAACCAAGAAAACCAACTTTTCCCTTGAGTTAAGGCAGTCCTCAGGCAGCTCACCACAAGAAATATTAATCCCCAAAGGACCAGAGGTTTTTGCAGTGTTGATACTTCCCTGTATTAATTGGGCTGAATCATTCTAAATTCCTTCCTTTAGAATTCTTCAAATAATATTTGATGAAGGAAGAGTATTGAGACATTACAACAAGTCATAAATTCAGTTCTTGTTGAGAGATTTAGTAAAGGAAAGAAGGCAGCTGAACATCTCAGTTCTGGAAATAGAAGTTGATTGTAATACAACATGAGTGATTATGGAGAAAAGAAAGAAAGCGAGGGAAAAATCAGCCAGATGGAGTAAATATATTCTCTTCATTTTAAGCTTAAGTCCTCAGAAATGGAGGGATAAAACCCTTTCGGTGGCAATTATTTTTTCCAAATTTGGCTAAACTTTGTTGACACCAGCAAGAAACTCCTACATACAACTGGTGCTGCCAGAGCTAAGGAATGTAAAGCCCGGGACAATCTGCTTTACATTAAGCATAAATTTTTTTTCTTAGCTTTTTCAAGCCTATAATAGAGATTCAAATGAAAAAGAACTGCCAACTGTTGAACTACATCAAACTAGGGACATTGCTTCTTTTAATTTATTTAAGCATTTGTCTTAATAAATAAATAAATTGGTCTAAAAATTTTAATATTCCATGATTATTTGGTATGTGATGCCAAAAGTTGCTACAATGACTAACAAACAAATGAAATTAACTTCTGAGATCTGTGACAGGCCTGTCTCATTTATCATTAAATGAAGATATGACCAAATAGGAAGGTGACCCCTATTAATTAGTTTTATTTTAATTTTTTAAAAATTGTTAAAAGTTAGTCAGACAAGTATACAAGACAATCCTCATACAGGAAGAAAAATTAAAATAATATGATGTAGTCATAATCCTTTAGATTCTGATCACCCTCCTTCACTTTTTTCACTTGTTTACACTATGTTTAGAGTTGCAGAATAAGTGATAATGAAGCAAGGTGGTTTCAAAAAAGATTAAAAATGTGTGGAAGAGGGTATGAAGGAAAGACAGAACTATGAAAATAGGACTAGGCTTACTTAGCTAGTATCTTAACCTCCTATTAATAGTCTCCTCAGCTTTCATGATGGCCAAATTACAGAAGCTTTCCAAATCTTAGCAGTCTCTTCCAACCAGCATTTCTGATACCTGCAATGGTTTTCTTATTACTCTTTTTATTAAGAGAATCTGGATTTGCATTTGCTGTTTCATTTCCCAAAATTCTGATCTAAATTTATCTTCTGCAATATAAACAACACAAAAATTATCCATATACAACTTAACAACACTGATTCCATATCTGCAAGTTTCTTGCCTTAATTTATATCTGAACTCCATTTGAAAATGCCATTAATTTCTCCTAAAATCAAATACAAAATTGATTTGATGTTCTTTTCTGTTCTCCAAAAGCAGCGCAAAAAAGAACAGCAAATCCACCCCATCTATGGACTTCAGACCTGCTCACATCAGATTTTCACTGTGTATCAGCTGAACATTTTCTTCTTCTACCCTGAAGGGTAGAGAGGGATGGGAGAAAAACCCTTAGCTTCTCTTCAGCAAGTTTGCAATTTTTATCAAGCAGATTTGTAAGCAGCTAACTGAGGTACAATGATTTCGAGTATAAAATTACAACTTCATTTTCTATAAAAACACATGCTAAAATCAAGATAATTTGCAATTTAATCAACAACAGTACATATTTATTCTACTTTTACCCATCAATAGAATGTGAACAGAATTAACTTCTCATTCCCAAATAAATCTTTTAGCTATTCTATCATTCTCCTTTCTGTGTGCTTTTATTAATGCTTTGTAAACAATCTACTGCTAGATTTGTGAAGCTTGTAACTTCTGCACTAGGAACCTAAGCCCTGATCCACATGTAGAACTGAGATTTGTGGAGAGATGTGATCATGGTATTAATCCACCAATGATTTCCAGAATGTTTGAATTACAACTTGAATATAAAAAAGGAGAAGATTCCACTCAGCCTATTATGAAAATAACTTTAAAAATGAAGTACTACAAGGACTTCCTTGAACCTCAGTGTGAAGGGTAGCAATGCTGATTATGAATATTAGATAAATGAGCCATGTAATCTGCTAAAAAAATAGCACTGACTGATTCAAAAGAATCTGAGCAGTGACTAACATACAACAGACACTGGTTATGTCCACTTTATCTCATGGCCACTGCTTCTCTGGGCATGGAACAGAATCCAGAGCCAGTAAGTGTTTTATACAACGCACTCAAGCAAATATTCTGAATTATAAAACTAACAGAGAACTTTCTTCCAGCACCCAGCAACTCTTTGAACTTTCCAAGTCACATTCATTTAACCATTCTAACACTCCATGGCTGCCTGCTATGATTAGAAGTTTATCCAACAGGTGAGTAGTCTCAAAACAAGCATTCTGCTGCTATATAATCCTAGGTTCAGACCCATACAGATCTTTCCAGCTGCTATTTTATCATGTGAACTAAACATTAAACAGAACATGCTTCCTAAAACAGAGTAGGGTACCCTTCACAATTCTCCTTGATATCAGCTCTGAAAGGTGTCTGAAAGTGATTCCGCACAGCCCTCTGACCATTAAGGTGTAAACCTTTCTGCAGTTAAACGACACTGAGGAAAAGTGATGATCTACAGAGTCTTCTGTTTTGTCATACAAACAGATGCAGTTATGGAGCTCTAGACAGAAATACACTGTGCTAGAACCAAAACACAGCTGCAGTAAAATATAGCTGCAATAAAAGCAGATACACATTTTCAATTTAGAACTGTAACTTCTCAATGTCTTATATAAAAAGGCTGGGCAGATGAAAAGGAAAGCCACTGATAATATTGGTTCAATCAATCTCAAAAACCCTATAACAAAACAACTTTCAACCTGGCTGCACTTAAAATTCCACCTCTTTTGTGTGTGTCTGACACAATACATGAGACTTTCAGTCTGACCAGAGATGTACAGTTTTGGTTGTACTTTTCTATCAATTTAGACTGAGATGTCTTACAAAATTGCAGGTAGGCATGATTTAATGTTTATATGTTCATAGCATTGGTAGTTCAATCAATTATGATTAAATGCTGTACCAGCATAAGAGATGGTAGTAATGGACCCCTTCCTATGGAATTTATGTCAAAAATTAAACAGAAAATGAGTAGGGTGGGCACTTCTAGAGACTACAAAACAACAACATGCTTAAAGTTCTCTACAGTCAGAAATAGCTGACTGGGATCAGATTGTAAATGTCTGTTTACATGTGCAACAACACACAACTTTATAGAGCCTGAAAAAGATTAGGATAATTCAAGTTTAATTGATATGTGTAAAAGATATCCTGGGAAATACAAAAAAGCTATACAATTTTCACATTAGAATGAAGCACCTCCTGGGCTTAGAACTTTCATTTCTGTCTTGCATAAGTTCAAAAACAAAACAATAAAGAAAGATCTGAATAAAGAAAGTATCTAACCGCACACATTGCTTAAGAAAAAGAAAACACAGTGTGACTATAAATATTCAAAAATTCCTCCGAATATTATTGTAGAATGGCTTGGGTAGGAAGGGATGTTAAGATTATCTAGTTCCAAGCTCCATGGGCTAAGACATCTTTCACTACACCAGGCTGCTCAGAGACCCATCTAACTTGACCTTGAATACTTCTAGGGACAAGGCATCCAGAACTTCTCTGATTCCAGAGCCCCACCACCCCCCTGCCCGCATAAATAATTTCTTCCTCATATTTAATCTAAGTCTACTCTCTTTCAGTTTGAAGCCATACCCCCTTGTCCTGCAACTACAGCCCCTCGTAAAAAGTCCTTCTCCAGCTCTCTTATAGTCCCCTTTATGTTCAGAAAGGTGCACTAAGGTCTCCCCAGAGCTTTTTCTTCTCCAGGTTGAACAATCCCAACGCTTCCAACCTTTCCTCATAGGGGAGGTGGTCCACTCCTCTAATCTGTGCAGTGGTTTTGGTTCATCAGTTTCAGATCTCCCATGCAAAACCACCACAACCCTCTTCATAACCTTCCTCAGGATTGACTCCAACAGGTCCATGACCTTCTTGTGCTCAGGACCCAAGAGCTGGACACAGTACTTCAGGTAAGGTCTTATCAGAGAGTGAGGTATTATCTCAGGTATTTCTTTTTCAATAAGACCTATACACATGATATTCAGAGACCATCCCAAGAAGAGGTCCCTCAAATTTAATCTTGCATTGTGCCAGGCCAGCTGCAGATTTCTTTGTATGAATTCTTGTTTTCTTTCACCCTAAGTCCCTGCCTACCAAGTTCTGCTGGAATTGTTCTACAAGTGCCACCTGTAGAACATTTCTCCATGAATTCAGGACAAATGAGCATAATTATTTAGCAGGTTTATTGTTTTCCACTCTGACAGCAAGGTGGGAGTGTCTCCCACTCTATGCATTTCTATCCTTTTCAACCAACATAAAGGAAGAAACTGTGTAAGAGATCTTCAAGGGATTTGGAATATGAGTGGTCCCATTCTCATACAGAAGGTACAAAATGCCTATCTGTGAATACAAGAATTTTCTTAAAGCAGTTCATTGGTGTGGTTGTTGCAGAATTAAAGTCTGAATCTCTAAAAGGTCTTTCTCCATTATATTGCTCACTTCACTAGTTTTTTTTAATCAAAATACACCATAAGAGTCTGAAACAAAGGCACTTCTCTAAAGACAATATTTTTTAAGAACATTAGTTACAGACAAGTGATCTGCCTTTATTATACTGTTAGCCTGCAGATTCTCATAGCAAGAGATTAACAAGAGTTACTATTTCCAGAAGGACTGATTGAGGAAAAGAAAACAGAGCAGTATTATAAGATTCTTTTACAAAGCAAAATAATTTCAGCCATATCCCACTTACAGTCACACAACACTTCTTCACAGGCAGTTTACTACTCTAGTAAGATCAAGGTAAGTTTGGGTCAGTTTTCAGATTTGAGAGACTCCAGAAAATTGAATTCTCTCTATTTTGGATGAGCATGCAGCTTGTAAACACAGAAGCAACGTTCTTAGTAAATCTTAGAGCAGACCTTCTCTTTTTAAAAAGCTGACAGGAAAAATTAATTTCAGAGATTTCTCAGCATTTTAGCATATGCTTCACATTCATCTGACATTTTGTTGTAACTTTGTCATGGTTTAGCCCCAGCCAACAACCAAGTACCACACATTCAATTTCTCACCTTCCCCACTGGGAACAAGAATGACAAAAAAAGGAAATAAAACTCATGGGTCAATGTAAAAACAGTCTGACGACTGAAACAAAATAAAATATTATATTATTTCAGTATTATAGTATTATAATTTATATAATATAAAATTATATACATATAGTTGCTATTATTAGTAGCAATTGTAATTAAAAGAATGTGGGGCAGAATAAAACTCAAGAAAAACAAATGATGCTCACTGCAGTTGCTTATCACCTGCTGAAAGATGCCCAGCCAGTCCACGAGTGGCCATTGGCACCTCCTGGCCAAATTACCCCAATGGTATGGAATATCCCTTGGGCTAGTTCCAGGCAGCCATTCTGTATGTACTCTACGGCCCCAGCTCGTTGTGCAGCTCCTCGCTGGCAGAGCATGGAAAACTGAAAAGTTCTTGATTTAGAGTATACACTCCTCAGCAATAACTAAATCCTTAGCGTGTTATCAACATTTCTGTCATCCTAAATTCAAAACACAGCACTGTACCAGCTACGAGAAAGAGAATTAACTCTATCCCAAACAAAATCAGGACAAACTTTCACCAAGAGCACTTGAAATGTACAAAATGGACAGTACCTTTATCCTCAGCTATGGCGAGATATAATCATTAAGATCACAAATGCTCCAGTCTTTGGCATACACAGACTGTATGCCAAAGTACACAGAGTTACAAGAAGACCACAGCATGCATTTACACAGTACATATTAACCATCATCAGAGAGAAAGTAAATTAATCTTAATTTCATTAAGGTTGTTAAAAAGCAAGGCATAATAAAATTCAGAAACAGTAGATAAAAGTTCTTCAGCTCTCCCTAAAAATTCACTAGGTACTACACTTGTAGTAGCTGTAGGACTAAATAGAGTGAGTGTGTTTGTTTAAATACTGGCATAGTTTTGAACTAATTGCTGTAGAAATGATGCAAATAAGTTTCTGTTCTTCCAATTTTCCTGAACTCCTGTAAATCTTTGACAGAAATATAAATGCTTTTCAAGGGCAATTTTGAGCTTATACTTGAAAGTACATTTAGACTTCTCCACATTTAGAACGGACTAAGGATAAGGAAAGGTTGTTGAGACAAGAGTGCCCCTCAGTGGCAGCAGTTAATATAAAATACAATTATACGATACTTTAAAATAATATCTGGAATATTTATATTCATCACTCAAGGACAATTGCACCATTAAATCACATTGTTTCAATACTGCATCATTACAAAGACTCTGAAGGGGTTTAGCACACACAATTTCATAATGAATAAATTTAAATATGTAGATCACGAGGTAAAAATATTTACTATGAAACAACAGTTGCTAACTATTTATAGCTGAGTGTTTTGTGGATGGGTGTGCGTGTATTTTTTAACTTTAAATATAACAGTTTACTGTTATATTTAAAGAAGAAAGATGGAATTTTGCATAAAGACTTCTCACAACAATTCTGCAGCATTCAAATTGTTTGTTTTCTTCAGTGTCATGAGCAGTAAAAAAACATGCAGTAGTTCTTTGAGAACTTCAAAAACTACAGGATCTGAATTTCCTGGAAGGCTTGCTCTGTGTACCAGGTTGTGTTAATTTGCTCAAAGACTAAAACTATGTCATGCTTTGTACTGCAGACACACATATTGCTTTCAAAGTCTGTCTTGGAACCTGTCTAGGTTCCTTCATCCACCCTGTGATGATTACAGATTCATGGCAGAATTGGAATGGAGCTGTTATACTTTATATGTTCATTAGCACTTGTTCTCTAATCTAGTTATTTCAATATTCTTGTTAATTTAAATAAAAACAGGCCTTGAAGCATAACTATAGTTTAAATATTTTAAGGCTAAATCATCTCCATTATATTTACCATCGATAGCTGCAAAAAATATAGCCATGGTTGATGACGCAATATTTGCATCAGCAATTATTTTACTTCTGTGCTTGGGAAGGTCATGGAACAGATCCTCCTAGAAGCTATGGCAAGGCTCATGTAGGAGAGGGAGGTGATTTTGAGATGGCCAGCATGGCTTCAACAAGGACAAGTCCTTCCTGACCATAGTGACCTTCTATGAAGGACTGACTACATCAGCAGACAATGGAAGGACGACAAATGTCATTCATCAAGAGTTCTGGAAAGCCTTTGGCATGGTTCCCCAAAACAGTAATTAATGAGTGGACTGCTAGATGGATAGGAAGTTGATTGGATGGTTGCATCCAGAGGGTAGTGATCAATGGCTCAAAGTCCCGATGGACACCAGCGACAAATAGTGTCCCTCAGGGATCCATACTGAGACCAGTGTTATTTAATATATACATTAATGACATTAATGGAGGGATCAGTCTAAATAAATTGCAGATGACACCAAGCTGAGGGATGCAGTTGGCACACCTGGAAGATGAGATGCCATCCAGAGAGACCTGTACAAGCTCAAGAAATGGGCCCATGGGAATCTCACTCAGTTTAACAAGACCAAGAGCAAGGTGCTGCACCTGGGTCAGGGAACCCCTGGTATCAACAGAGGCTGGGAATGAACAGATGGAGAGCAGCCCTGGAGAGAAGGACTCAGAGGTGCGGGTGGGTGAGAGGATGTGATCCAGCCATGGGCACCCACAGCACAGAAACCCAAATGGCTCCTGGGCTCCAAAGCAGCGTGGGCAGCAGGGCAAGGGAGGGGATTCTGCCCCTCTGCTTCCCTCTGATGAGACCCCACCTGGAACCCTGCATCCAGCTCTAGAGTCCCACCACAGGAAGGCCATCAACCTGTTGGACTGAGTCCAGAGGATTACCAACAAGATGATCAGAGGGATGGAGCACCTCTCCTGTTAGGGGAGGCTGAGAGAATTTGGTTTATTCAGCCTGGAGAAGAGAAGGCTCTAGAGTGACCTAATAGTGGCTTTCCAGTACCTGAAGGGAGCCCCTGAGCAAGATGGAGAAGAACTTTCAACAACAGCACATAGTGACTGGACAAGGGGGAATGGTTTGAAACTGGAAAAGGTAGGTTTAGATAAGACATTGGGAAAAAAATCTTTACTGTGAGGGTGGTGAGGTACTGGAACAGGTCATCCATCCCTGGGAGTGTTTAAGGTCAAGATGGATGAGACTGTGAGCAACTAGGTCTAGAGAAAGGCCCCCCTGTGGGGGACGGGGGGGGGTGTTGAAAATAGATTATATTTAAGATCCCTTTCAATCCAGTCCATTCTGTGATTCAATGATTTCACACAACAGTATAATAATGCAATAATTTACTACCTTCTAAGAATGATAACCAACACGCAGGAATCTGAAACCATCTCAGAGTTTCACTAAAGAAATGCTTCTCAGGTACATCTTGAGAAATTATCTCCAAGCAAAGTAGTTCTACTTAATAATTGTAGCTTTGTCTTTATCCTCCAACATGATATTGTTCACAGTGAGATCTCAATGAACAATCCTTTTCTCTTTATGCAAATAACGAAGAGCTAGACAAAGCTAAAAACCAAACAGAAAGAGCCTCACAAAGATTCTTAACTACAACCTAAATTAAGACATATTAAATTCACAGCTATGTATTAGTGATTGATATAATAAACATTACTTCATCATTTATTAGCTTAAAAACATGGTGCTACTAATTACAGGTAGGAAAATCCTGGCAAAAATAATGGAGGCACTTACTCAGATAAATATATGCCATATTCCTCTTCTGTAAACTGTTGTTGCTTTTCCTTGAAATAGTGAAACTGGTCTCCCAATGGCACCCCCTCCATGAGATCCATCACTATATACAACCTGTCATCTCATAAAAGAAATTAATAGAATACTGTATTTATATAGAAACAATTTTTAAATAGAGTATTTGAGCTTAAAATGTATTTTAAAAGCTGTTATTTTTTAGTCTTTAAAAATTGTATTTGTACAGATAGATACACCTTAATCTCATTCCATTCTTTTTTGTTTTCCTTTTTCCTCAGTTTATGTCAGGAACTATAAGGAAACCACTGCCTGATAATCACTGAGCAGGCAGGTGTATGTAGGTAACTCTTTATTGAAAAGCAAATTAAAACAATATGGCTGGCAATCTGTATCATTCACTCTACTACTCACCATAGTTTTTCTCCCTATTTAGTATTTCAATTGTACACTTTGGATCTTTAGAGGAGAATAATGATGCTTGCTACATATTTACATTGCATCTAGTTTTACTAATAGATAAACAAATACAAACACTATTTCTCATTATTTTTTTCAATTTTAAAGGAATATAAGCCTGTTTGAACTTCTACCAGCTCTGGAAGAAAGATTATTGCTCAAATTTGACATGCTCCTGCCAACCTGTAAATGGTTTTATTATATATTTCTATTTCTTCATTATGCATAATGTGATAATTCTGTGCATTTATACTCACTTTCCAAGAAGGTTCTGTAATACCATACAACATTTGGATGATAAAGCTACAATGAGGAAAGAAATGCAGATGCTTAGAATAGTTTAACTGATGGCACAGTATTTAAAATATTTAGCTACACGTAGGAAGGAAGGATATTACAAAGATTCCACAAACTTATCTAGGAAGTCCAGTGCACCTTCCTTCACTGTTACCCCAAATGCAGAGAAATGTTGCACATTACCAGAGTAATCAGCAGGAAAAGAGGGTAGTATTCCTGGCTAAACACCCCCAGCTCCCTCAACCACTGCTCACAGGACTTGTGCTCCAGACCCTCCACCAGCTCCACTCCCCTTCTCTGGACCAGCTCAAAAACCTCATTGTCCCTCTTGTAGAGAGAGGCTCAGAACTAAAGACAAGATTTAAGGTGCTGCCTCAGCAGTGCCAAGCACAGGGTGACAATCACTGCCCTGGTCCTGCTGGCCACACTGTGCTGATACAGGCCAGGATGTCTTTGGCCTTCTTAGGCACACTGCCGGCTCATGTTCAGGCAGCTGCCAACCAGCATCCCCAGGTCTCCTTTTCCACCAGGCAGCTTCCTACATGAGAACTCACAGTCAGTAATTCAGAATGCCAGCATATCATACTAGAGTTCATGAGAAACACCTGCCCTTTGATGATGGCTAATTCAGAGACAATAATTTTACACTGCTATCTCTGTCATTTTTGTCCTTTCCAAATGCTGGATTGTGTAAATTGACTTCTTTCATTGCCAGGAGATGTTGTCCATAATGCTTTCTAACCTATAACCAAGGTAAAACCTTTGAACAATAAATATAGGATGGGGACAGGAAGAATGGTATTATGGCTACCAGATTAGTTATCAGAGTCCAAAATTTTCTCACAGAATATGTAATCATTGCTTTTTTTTGTGTATGATGTGATTAGTAGAAGAACTACAATCCAACAGTACAGGTTAGCAGTACACTTCTGAACTTGCATGCTATTTGAAGCAATATTATCTGTGCTCAGTGTTGCCTTTCAGATGAAACATGCTTGAATTTTTGTGGTTTTACACAGATTGATTAGCCTTTGCAATAGACAAATGCTGTTAGTGGAAAGGAATTAAGAGAAAATAAGGTAGGAAACCTAAAAGATACACTGGTCAATCATAAAATACAACATGGAACAAACAAAATCACAGCAAACATAACAAGCTCAGATTCTCAAAGGCATTTTTGCACCTACATTTCCCAACTGAAATTCAAAGGACAGTTGTGCCTAGAAGAGATATTAGACCCTCTTCATGAAGCTTCTCCTCAAATCTGTAAAATAATAGCAAAAGAAAATTTTACCTTATATACACTTCCAAAAGCTCCACTGCCAAGGTGCTCTAAAATTGTATAACTCCTATATGATTTCTGGGTGCCTTATTCTGATTCATGTTCTCAGTACTTTCAGCGATTTGCTTCAATACATCCTCCTAGTCATAAATTAAATGACAAATTTAAAATATTTTATGCCTTTCTTGTACTAAGAATGTGCAAGAATACAACTTTTTAAAACTGTGAAGATTTAAGGTTTTTACTTACCTTTAAAACAGATACTGACAGGTGGCTAATATGTATGCTTTGATGCAACTCATCTTTAGCTCTATTTGTCAAGACTCAATGATGTGGCAGATTTATAGCTGAGCAAACAAAGACTGTCATGAATTAAGATCACTAAAGTAGCATGGCAGAAGGAAGATGAAAATTACATCATTGAAAACACACACAGTGGGGCAGCAGAGAAACCACACAAGCACTGCAAATATTCTAAAAAAAAAATCTGTGAAACTCAAAAAGGATATTCCAATATCTGCAACTCTATTTCATCCCAGTAACATTTTCAAAGGCAATGCAGGTAGTAGTATGAGAAGCTGAACAAGGTTTCATAAACTTCTTGTCCAAAACAGACTTAGTTTTCATATGTGATCATTAAGCCCATTATTAATTCATATGGCTTCATGTTCAACCCAACTACAGCTGCTTGGTAGCTCTTGTGAGTTATTTCCTACACATTCTGCTGGAATCTAAAAACCTCAATGGGCAATAAATTAAGCTCCTTACAGTTGTGTGAGGCAACTATACTGAGCATATGCTCCAGTTTGTTAGACTACATGTCAGTTCCATATACCTACCCACCAGGAAGGTTTGTATTTATCTCATCCTTAAGATGAAGGGCACTTTAAAATCTCCTTGCAGTAGAAAGGCACCTACTGTACTGAATCTGCTCTCCAATTCTAATCTAGAAGAACTGTGCTGAGAAAGATGACAGTAGAATGATTTTTTTTTTTGGTGGAAATGCCTTTCTTTGCTATCCAAGCACACCCACCTGATTAGATAGTGGAGTAGCTATATACACATTTTAGGGGCTATGTCAGAACAAAGGCCATGTGAGAGGCAGGATCATTAATGCATTCAGCTGTGCTAAGGCCTTTGCCAACTAGTGCAGCAGCAGCTGTGCTCAGCCTTTGTTGGAATCCTGGATGCAGAGAATTCTAAACTTTCTGTGCTGAAAGGCACAGACTTGCAAGAGATCACTGCATTTGACCTGAGGCTGTGGAGAAGACTTCTAAATTTGATTAACAGCACTGGGATTACAGGTATGTAGTTGGTTAGAAGCATACAGTATCACAGGGTGGAAAACTTAAAGTTAGAGGTTTTAGAATATAGAAATAAATATGAAGCAAGATGGAGATTTTAGGGTGGAGGCAGGTTGTTCTTCTCCCCTTCTTCTTCCTGGGTTTGGGTGGTATTTTGTAATTGGACAGAAAAGTCGACATTGCGGGCTTTGAGGGATCAGTTATTGGGTTAAAAGGGAAAATAATCTAGGTGTCATTTCTTAATTGGATAGTTTAGTCTTAAAAGACATTGGAAGAAGAGATGGTTAGCCATTTTGTGCCTTGCTAATGAATGGCTGCAGGACTCATGGTTCTGAGGCTGTTACTGATAAGAAATAATAAATACCTGAGTCTGAACATGAAATACTGTCTCAAGTGCTTTCAACACTGACCTTGACAGAGGTGGAAAATACAGAGAATCCACAATCCCTGAACCCCTGAGCACTACATTCCCATATCTTAGAGCGACACTCACCACTGTACAGTGCCTGAGAAAAGCTACCAGGTAACTAATTAATTACTACTGAAGACCTTTAGCCTAAGTTGACTCTAACCAGTACATTTATGGGGGTAATGACATGCAAAACCAAGAGGCATTCGATGCTTATTTGGCCTATATTTATTCTACACTTAAATTTTCTCTATTTTATACATTGCCTTCATGTATATTATTTAACATTCACAGAAAAATGCTCCAGAAATAAACAGATATTAGTAGAGTGTCAAGTCTAGGGCAAGTTTCAATGAACATCAAGGCTCTATAAAGGTCTGATGCTAGACAGCGTGAAAACGTAGAGGAAAGATTATCACAAGAAAAATATTAACTTTCCTTTACACTATATGAGGTGCCAGAAACAAAGTAAATCAGAACAGAAATTAAGTCTCTATTTAACTTTCAGTTCCTGGGCTATTGTTTTGGTGTAGGGGTTTTCCCTTTAAATATGATTTTTTTTTCTACTGTACTTCAAAATAAACTTTAATTCATAAAAATTCTCAGGGACTGTTGGGGCTTTCATTGTGCAATGATAATAAAGGGAGTTACCTGTAATAAACTGGCTTTTTCAGCATTCCTTTCTTTGTTTGATAAAATTAGCTTTGCTATTGTATATATTGCATTTGCCTGGAAACAGAAAAAGGTCAGCATTAATAATGCCCCTTTGCATGCAAACCACAAATGAAAATTAATGTTCCGATAAATCAGAAGTTAATAGCAACAGACATGTTCTCAACATCCTATTGCACACCTAGAATATAAGCTTAAACACGTATAAGAATTAAATCATTCTTACATTGATACCACAAAAAGAGCCTGTGAAGATAAAGAAACGCTTCTATCTCTGTAGGTGAAGGAAATTGCAGCAATAGATCTCCTGTCACCATGTGGCACCATATTTTGAATTGTCAAAACAAAATTCAAGTCTTAATAAAAATAAATTGGAGAAACACCAAAAGTGATAACCTGAGAAGTCTGTCCATGCCTCCAGAATTTTGTGAAAACCATACTGAATTCAGCTTCCGATTTCATGCAATCATGTATCCTTCACTATTCTATCCACTTGGTAGGTCTGATAGATGGGCACTGGTAGATTTAGTTGGAGTACTGTTCCCAGTTACTTGACAAGGTCTCTGATGGACACTAGTCTCTTTAGCAGACTTGTGTCAGCTCTGCAGAGGCCCTTCTGCAGTTCCTGATGTTTTCTTCCACTGTTCAGGAAGGTAGAATTAAGCTTAGACCACGGTTAAGCTTAGGTTTTGGGCTGTGCAGTAGAGCCTTTGATCAAACACATTCTGTCTGCTGCCAGAATTACTGCAGACTGTTGTCAAGGCTGTGACAAGGACAGAGGACAGACAGACAGGTAGAGAGCAGTTACAGCAGAAGCAAAATTTCCCAAGAGCCCTTTGACAGCAATGCTATAAACCTTTACAGGTTACTCAGACTGACCTCCTTGGCACATAACTGAAAAAGCTGCACACCTTTCCCTCTGTTTTAACCCAAGTGAATTGCTTCATCTTGCTCACTATGCAACTCTTGAAGTTATACTAGCAAAAAGAAAGAGGTAGGTTTTAAAATTACTACAGTGGTACTGGAGGCTGGAACTCCAGTTGAAAAGAACATGCTTGAGGCTATGTCCTGATTTGAAAGGGGGATGTTGGCTGGTGTTTAAACAAATGGAGAAGTCTGTGTCTTTTGACATAATGAGCAGAAGAAGTTAAGTTTGAAACACCTTTTCCAGCTCTGCACACTGTACCATCAATTTTTAAGTGATTTACTGACAGAACAGTCACCATGCATGTCTGGGGCAATGCAGAAAACCTCTCTGTTAAATCCATTTAATTTAAACAAGTGATATTTTATTTTACTGAAATCAGTCTCAGCCTAAAATATTTCATTGTATTGTTTAGATAAAAGTTGTCTAAATCAGTACAGTTTATTGACAATTCTAGTGTGCAAAAATAATTTTTTGTTTTCTAGACTTACTTTCATTTATTTTCTCTCAACCAATAGTTTGGAGATATTCACAAACTTCCTTCCTGGTCATATTTAAGATTCTTGTTCTCTCGGTTCCTCCAGGAATACCTCTAGTTGGGTTTTAAGCTAACTTGAAGGCTTTGATTTAACATTTAGAGTTTAACAGCTGGCTATAGCTTTTAGCTGATATTAATGCCCTTAAAATTTATATCTTTGACCAGGTCTGGAATACAGCCAGGGATTTTAAGAATGGCTTATCCTTGGAGATAGAATGGTAGTTCTCCCAGAAATACCATACCCTTATGAAAAGAGAAATAGTTTGTGAAACAGCGACATGTCAATTTTTAGCTGTATAGCTTTCTGTAATAAACATCAAGAAATTCAGAATTTGCATTTCTCAGTTTATTCTGTGATTACTTTTATTTACTATCCTATTTTGAATATGACAAAAGCATGGTAAGAGATGCTAAAATGAACCTTATCTGAATAAAGCTGTTTATTCTTCCAGACACCTATGTTGATAACCTTTGTGTCTGTGTCTCTGTGTGGAAAACGATAAAGAAACAGAAAAACTAAAATTATAGACAGGCATATTTCCAATCTCTTAAATTATGATAACAAAGAACAACAATTACGTAAAATTATAAACTATAATGCCTTACTTTACTGAATAAAATCTTCCTACCTGAACAACCTGGTAAGCATTAGCCTCATTGAGCACTAGTTCAGTAATTGCAGCACAACTAGCTAGAATAAAAGTCCAGAAGTAACATTTAGGGCCATTTGACTCTATTGAGAAATCTCCTCCAAAAGGAATTTGCTCCATAACTACATGAATCCTCACCTAAATACAAGTCATTAAAATACCACTTTGAAATCATATGATTCATATTGATATTTCATAGAAAATATAAGTAGTGAAGAAAAATATGATCAAATAATGTCATACTAAACACAAAACTAACTAACTAACTAAATAAATATATAAATGACTCTTTTGTCACTGTTTTTACAGGTGAAGAAATACATATGATTCCCAGATTCTTAATACTTTACGTTTTGCTTCCTTCTAACAAAAGTATACTTTTTGAAAATAAGTGCTGGTATCACTCATTTGAAAAGAAACAAATCCAATTTGATGCTCCTACTCCCTAAAGCAGGTGTAATTATTTACAAATTTGTAATATTTTAATCCTTTTGCACAAGTGTATGTAAAGACATAACAGAGTACTAGACCTTATAAACCTACCTGCTTGAAGTGAGAAAGTATTTTCTTGTATCTCATCAGGACTCAGTTCATCTGACAAATGAAGATACTGGATTCTCCCTGCTGCAGTTGCAGTGTTAAAAATGGCTTAATATGTGTTTGTTAACCATTCATGAAGTTCTGAAAATGTGTTTGTTTTCATTAAATTAGCTAACACTTTGAAAAAGAAAAGAAGCCTTTAAACAGAAAATTCCTTTACCATGTTCATCAATTATATTCACAATTCTAGCTCACTAAATAGGTGTCTGATTAATAGAACTAAACAGACAGAAATGCCGTATTTATGACTTATTCATTATTTTGTTTATACATTAAAAATATGAAAAACACCTTAGGATAACAATGAAATACAAAAGGCTGGAAAAAATATTGCTTATTCATTATGTTCTAAATAGTCTTTTAAATTTTGCTGGTATTACATACAGCTGAACAAGCCAAAGATGTTCCTTGATAAATCAGGGCTTGGTCAAATATATCTTAAAAGAACAAACAGTCTTGTACAATTGCCACAATGTTGAGGGCTGAAAACCTACTCCTGTAAAATATGAAGGAACTGCTTGATTCTACCCCAGATCCTAATTTCCACACTAGTCTCAGGATCTTCACAAATCTGTACCAGAATCCAAACTATACTCCATAGAAGTTTGATGTGATCAGAAAGAAGCAAACTGAGAAAGACTGGAATTCCTTCATACATTTTTATTTGCTCTTTGACTCGTGAAAAATCAGCAAGAAATTTCAACAATAACTCCATCACTACTTTGTATTGTCAGTTAAAAAAGGGGAAAAAAACACAGGAAGTTTAAAAAAGAACAGAGATCTCCTATTAAAAAAAAAAAAAACAAACAAAAAAACAGGCATACCCAGCCAGGATGGGAGGTGGCCAGGTGGGCTGCAGTTATCTGTGCTACCATCTTCCTATTAATGGCATTAGTAGTAAAAGTAGCACTGACTGCATGGACTTGTGAAGTCCATCTGTGGAACTCAAATAGCCTAGTTCCACAGATAACACAAAAATGCATCATTCTTCTCTAGTATAGTTTGAATTTTATATTTAGAAAGTGATTGGATATATACCTTAAAAGGTTTATATAAGACTTTCATTAACTGTAATGAAGGTGGACTTCCCATAGAAAATATGGTTAAGGATATCCATTTCCACTTTAAGCAAAAAGCTCCATGTGTGTTTAATGAAACATGTGAATTCAGATTCATATCTGAATTTAAAATTATTCTTAACTGGTACGGAACTTCATCATCTTCCTGTCTACATTCAAATTCTAAGTCTTACATCTAACTTTTGATTTACATGTGACCCAGAATTTTCTGACACAGAAACTAAATAAAACCTTTTCATATATTAATTTTGTCTATTCTTAGTCACATATAAGGTCACTTATATGTGTGAAATAGTTAAGCATGAAATTTTTAAAACCTCTTCAGAATTTTAAAGGTGATAAGTGATGTATTATCACATTTGATAGTCTTTCTGTTTCTCACTAAAATTCAGTAATGCTTTGCTAGCAGTCTTAGCTGAGATGATTAAACAATTAACTGAAGGGACATTGATGATTTTCTGATGAAGAGGATGTGGAATCTGACTCAGCCTCTGGCATAAACTACAGCAGCTCTAGGTCTTGCAATTTTACTCATTTATATTGGGCATCCCAGGAACTGTCAGGGCCCAGCATGCTTTCCCATCTAACCACTCAAGTCTGCCAGGAGCAAGGAAGAGATGGACCAAGAAAAGTGATTGCAATCACTTTATGATAACACTGTAACTCATTTGCAACTGGAAGCCAACAGTGGAGAGAGAGTAGATGAAACTGCTGGAAAAGATTTTGCTATATCAGTATGTGACTGAAAATACTCAGGTTTCAGAATTTGACTTTGGGTATATTCAAGTGCCACATTTTCTAATTCCTCTAAATACATGCATCCTTAAATAAAAAAGTCAAAATTTATTTTAACATAATTAATGCACACAAAAAGTCTCACCTGTTAGAGAGACAATCATATTCATGTAATATCACCAGCAAGTTCTCAACAATCTCACTTATCTCCTCTCTACATTCTGGACTACAAATTGATTATTCCTGACATTTATATCAAATGAAATTATATGAAAAACACATATTGCTGTTTAGACTCCTTCTTTGTGCATTTGATGAATAATTTTCCCCCCAAGTCTTAAGTAATAATATCAACTTGTGCACACAAGCACTTAAAGCCACAAATACATGCGGGGTCAAGAGTAACAGTGCAACAATTTTCCAGTTTTCCTAGTACAAAAAACAGTAAATGTGAATGCATAAAAGTAAAGAAAACTATATTTTGTGTCTTACTGATAATAAAGCAAACGGAGTGCATTTAAAAAAAAAACCACACAATTTCTATGAAGATTTGTAATATAGCTCAAACTCTTTCTTGCCCAGTCCAGATGTAACACAAAATCCTACATTCCATTCAGCGAAGAAAGTTAAATGGAAGTTGAAAATGTATGCATAACATTTAAATTAACACAGATATTAAAAACAAATTAAACTGAATCAGAGTTTTGGGAAGTCTGGGAGACAGCAGATCAATAACAGCAGTTTTCCTTCTATAATACCATTATAGATGAAAGTTGCTCTGCCCCTCTTTTTGCTCCTTTTTTCTCTTTTAATCTTTATTTACCACTAATTAATGAGAAGAGGGCACATATACATGGATTTGACTGTATGAGTTTATTATTTTCTACACTGAACAATATTCTACCTGAATATTGTGAGGCACTCTTATATTAAGCTGAGGACATAAGATTTTTATATGCAGGAAGTCAATAGGAATTCCAGAATCCTGCATGAGGATTGAAAAAACAGAATCTGTGATTCCAGTATTGCAGAGCCATCCATATGAACAAGAAGTCTGCTGCAAGGACCAAAGTTTCTATTTAGATTCTATTGCTTCAATATAAAATTAAGAACATTTACATTTTCCTCATAAAGAGCAGTTTTAATATTCTGTCAAGAGAAAACATTAAAAAGCTTTTGTTAATTATGGCACATTAAGTTGAACTTACCATTCTACTAACCTACCATTCTACTAAGCTAGTCAGAGCAAGGAGGGCACCAAAAAACACATAACTGTCTCTGGCAGATAATAAATTTACTAAGGTCTGGAAAAAAAATGAAAAAAAAAGGTAAGTAAATGTTTGATTCTGTGTAAATATAAAGTATATTACTTTCTTTTACAACTCAGAAACATGTAGAAATATTTAATGAAAAGTAAAAATTAAGGTACCAAGTCCTTACACAATATGTTAAAAGTCTTAGGTACATTTAAAGTACACTTAAACATACACCTAAAAACTTAGAATACACCCAGTAGGACAAGCAAAGGTGTTTCTTCTCAAACTATAATTAGTATCTCTTAGACTGCTAAAATCTATTAAACCATTGTAAACCATTAAACCATTGTAAAAATTTGGTTTTGTGTAACACTTCAGAACACTCAGGCCTCCTGAAGTAAAAAGTTAATATTCAGCTTATATTTAAACAGCACAGTAATTTAAGGCCCTGTCTGTATTTCTGTTCATGATTAATATCTAAGTAAACTCTGTATTTGTCTAGATTCTCTAAAAATAGGTTGTCTGCTACTATATGATCACAACTGCCAGTGTTTTTCTGCAGCATGATAGAATCATGAAACCCTAGTTATACTGATTTTGATCTCAACTGTATCTCAGTTTAGCCACAAACCAGCAATAGTTAATTACAGATTCTTAGACTGATGGTAATGTATAGTAATGGATGTCTGGGTTGACACAGAATATTTAGACACAGAATACTTTACAAGTGAAAAACCACAGCAGAAATTTATGCAAAAAAATTTTAAAATATATTTACATTTTAAAAATATATTAAACTATTTGAATCACAGTAAGTTGTAGCTCAGGACAGTGTATACAGAAGCACCACTTTTTATAGAACAAATATTTAGTCCAAATGTTTACAACCTGTTTATCTCAAACAGCTAATAATCATACATCAGATTCTTTTTATGATACTATTAATATATATAACTATATTTAATATATAGTAAATTATATATTAAATATATAATAACTATACTTTTTATGATACTATTAATACATCTGTAAAACACAGAGATTATCTTACCTTACAAGACTGACAAGGTAAGGAATTTATTCCCACCTAGGTCAAATCTGTAAAGCATGCGTTATTCTATTAACTAGATAATTAAATAAAATTAACAATTTTATAAAGCACTTACTTTATGTGCTCCACTTGCTATAACTCATTCTCTTTGATTTCTAACAGCAGCAAGCTTTTGGAAAATATCTATGGAACAAAGGAAGACACACAAATTGACTCTTTCTCACTAATATTTTTATTTTACCATTCAGGTAACAGAGAAAAATACTGTATAACTTCTTTGAACCATAACTAGCACAATTTACTCTTTTATTTCAATGCATAAACAGATAGTGATTTCTTAAAGAAATATTACGTATGTAGAAAAACAAGCTGCTCCCTTCTACAGGAATTTTAGCTTTTACTCATGTGATGATGCCTACAGTAAATATACTACTGTCTTACTTAATGACAACCTGAAGTACTTTAAACATTTTAAGCCTCACAGAAAAAGTTGTGGGTAGCCTTATGATTTTTGTTATCAGCTACTGCACCTGCATGTCATGTTGACCAACTTGTCTACATTGTGCTGCTCTTCCCTGTAATTAAGATAACAATTTGCTACTGTTTCCATATACTACAAGAAGGGGAGGAAAAATAAAGGATACCATTAAGACAAAAAAGTTTGCAGACTTCATAAACCTAGACTGTTCTTCACAGGTAGAGCCTGTAGGTGGTGCATCTGTTTCACGAAAAAAATCCTGTAATGCAATAGTGGTGTAGCCACAAGGTTTAAACCTGTTTCAACATTTAAAAAATAAATTATCAGAATGCTTCTCCCTTTGAAAAGTCATTTGCTACAGTGCAGGATGACTTTGCTCATCTCCCTTCAAGTCTAGAGTTTCTTTTGACTGAACCAATTGCGTTGACTTTTCTAATTCTTCTCCCACTTCAGGAGGCATTTCTGAAGTCTCCTAACTGGAAATCCTAGATGAATGCAGCTAGATTATAGGACAATTGTCTTGAAAACTAGTGAAAAAACCCACACCTACTTCTCATGTGAAAACAGAGAAACAGACTCACTTCTTTCCATAAACCAAGAATATCTGTACACTGCTTTTTACAGTATTTTAATCATAATAAACTGACAGGCAACATAATGGACAAAGGTACTATGAGGAATCCTACCTGACTTAGATTTTCAATTCCTCCCAGGCTGTGGAGCATTTCCTACAGGAAAATGATAAAAAAAAAAAAAAAACCTTCAGAATTACTTATAATAAGTAGATAAATAAAAACACAAAGGTGGAATGTTAAAGGTTCTTAAACTGGAGCTTTCGGTTTCCTTCAGTAACTACATTATGGGAGTTTTACATATCTTTGTGATAAAGTCAAATACCTAGTCTAGGGCTCAGAGCAATGACCGAGCCATCTGTTATGGAGATTTACAGTTTCCTTGTTAGGGTCAGCAACAACAGACATGACATAAAGAACAACAGAAATTGAGCAAGTTATACAGCAATGGTTTAAAACCACCCTTGAAATCAGTTTGTTTGCAATTCCCATCCTCACATATAGAAATATAGATACATACATGCACGTGTGCATTCATAAGAAGAAATGTTTTTATACACAAGCACCAATACAACTGTACACGTGACACTTACAAGCATCCCCTGATCCAAGCAAGAAACATTTTGACATACTGACCTGGTAGCATGGATCTCTTATTAATAATCTCAGGCAGATTAATAAGATCCAAGAAAGTGCATGCACAGAGCTTGAATAACCCATTGCCTGTAAATTAAATATTCAAAACATAAACCAAATGCGATTCAAAAAGTGTTTAAATATTTAAATAAAACAGTTTGATTCAGGATCAATTGACTAGATGATTAGTGAGCTACAACTGTTCTATACCATAGAACTTTTAATACCATTTATACTGAAACACAGTGGCAGCTATAAATAAATTTATTACATTATATGAGTATTACCAGCCATCAGTTATTATTATTGGACTGATGAGGGAAAGTACATGCTCATCTGTAAGAACAAACTAACTGTGCTTTGATATAAACTTTTAGTGGTTGAATTGAGGCCCAAAAGAGCAAAGTAAATGAGAAACCACAGAGCAAACTTCAGTGCACAAAATACACTTATGCAAAAATATGGGTGCTACAGAAGTAAAAATAGCTACATTTAAAATATTCTTTTGAATTATCATAATCTATCCTGGCTTTTAAAAACTCTAGTTGTATTATGCTAGAAATAAATTGTTATTTAGTTCAAATGTTCTTGAAATAGGATTGTATTTTGATATACAACTTCCTCCTTCATATTTCTCCATATGATTCACAGCATAAGACATGGCAGAAAATACAAATCACATTTGCAGAAAGTGTCCAGGGGCAGTAATCCTGCACAAAATGCCAGTAAAGGAATCACTATTTCCACTGCCTGTTGAAAGTATATATCTCCATTTTCCTATTTAAAATAAACCCAAAATTAGACATCTTTGCCATGTGTTTTTTGTTCCTGTTTTAACTGAGAGGACAAAATTTGTTTGGATAGGTTTCTTGGAAACAGAAAAAGTGTATGGGTCATGGCAGTTCTCTTCCCATTTCATCATTTGCAGTTGGGAATGACACCAACAGCTAAAAATAATTCCATAAAAATAAATGTTTTACAAATAGATACTAACAAACTCTGAGCCCTTTTATGCCAATATTCTGCCCTAGTAATACCATTTATCATTATGATTCCATAATTGGCTACTTCAGAACAGCACAAAACTTTCATGGAAAGAAAACAGCATGCAAAATTTGTAGGTCAGATTTTAAAGTGGCCTGAAGATATTACCATGGTCAACAGTCACTCCCTGAGCCTGATTAACATTTGAGAGCCCCTTCTACTACAGTTACATTTACAACACACATTACTAGACACACCAGGGTACATCCAGCTTATCTACATATCTCTAATTTATGCTTGTTTCACCAACCTTGCCCGGGTGCCTTCATTCTTAATACAAGAGGCTTGTTTTGTAATATCACTATCACAAAGAACACCAAAGAAAACCAAAATATAAGCCAAGTATGTCACAATGTATAAACAGATCTTGGGAAATCACAGTGTAAGCTATTCTTGGATTTCTGGCAAATGAAGCTGCGCCACTGACCTTCCACTGGTGAATACTGAGTTCACATGTAAAAAAGAGGTACCAGATTTAAAAACCACTTAAATAATCTGTTTTAAACTCACTGTCATTTAGATAATCAAAGAAGACACCCCTAGTTCCCCAGTTGGTTGTGAATAAAGGTATAAGCAAACCATGTGATGTTTTTAAATTCCTCTAGTAGTAGCATATTAATACCTTTAAGTGCTCTAGGATTCCATCTTTAAACTTCTGTACCACTTAAGGGTTTTTTAGAAAATGTATTCGGGCTTTAAAAAGGAAAATACAATACACTGCAAAGGAGAATAGTAAAAAAAAATCTAGAAAATACACCTTTTTTCCCCTGAAAATATCTTTCTCTGCCCCCTCTATTTTTGTAAGGTCCTGTGCTTTTTCCTCACACAAATGAGAACAGCATAAGAAAAGGTATCCCCCTTTCCAATCCTGTCATACACAGAAATACAAATAAACACAAACAAGTGGCATCAACTCATCTGAATTTTATGGAAACCACAGGCCTTTCACTATAGAGGCAGCAGTGCATAAAATACAAATAGAATCAGGACAATAAATTAGAAAAGCAAATAATACATTACAGACACCATGTACAGATGAATGATCAAGAAAACATAGCAGTTAGGATTTTGGTCATTCAAGGTTTGTCATACACCCAGTCCTGTGTTCTTCTGCCCCACTAACCTGGGCACTGCTCCTCAAAGCCAATACAAAAGTGGTTAATTAAAACAACCACAAGTGCTGCTGGTAATATCCACAGAAATGTGTGTTGTTATAACAATATGGGATATTATCCACACATCTTGCTTCCTCGTGGAACGCAATAAAGTAGCCTGCCTATTTGGTTATGAATGTGCTTCATATACTGATCTTGCTAAAATTTCTCTCATTCTTGTAGGTCACACTAAAAAGAAAGAAAAAAAGAAAAATGGTGAATTACAAATTAACTTGCCACAAGACAGTTTTGCTCTGCTACAACTTAACATTAGCAACAAAAACTAAGAAATGTCATACCAGCAGTTACCACAGAACAACACAATTTCAGATTGCCTGAAATTGTGTTATTTCAGTCTGTCTCATGCATAATTTGGGACTACCAGAATGGTATAACTTTTCCAAATAAAGAAATTATGATATTTTAAATGAGTTTATTCACTCTCACTAGTATATACTCTGCTGAGTGGGAAAGGTTGAAACTTACAAAGGCAGGAACATAAACAGGTTTAAAAATTAGAAGTACGTAATTCTCATCTCAAATACTGGATTAACATGAAAAGTACAAGTAAATAGTACATATGTAAAAATACAAATGCCTTCAACACCTCAACAAGGTGATACCCTTAGATACATAAAGGTATCTCTCGTTCAGGGATATGAGAATGTCATCATAAGCTTTAAATTATTTTTACCTAAATTTCTCAAGCTCAACAACTTCTGTTGATTCTTGGCATTGACCATTGGACTGCTGTTCATCGCTTTTGACATTTTGCCAAGTTCTTGTCACACTTAGTTTGACCACTTTCAATATATCTAGCTGGAAGCTAAAGAGTCATAGTAGGCATGAGGCAAATGCTGCAATTTAAGTTTTCTGAGAATATTATCATGCCAAAGTATGTTTTCTCGAGTTCTGATTTGAATTTTGGACCTAAAACTTGTTATTCTAGAAAACACACACCTCCTCTGGAAAACAACAGTGACGTGGTAGAAAACGGATGCAAAGCAAGATTGAAAAACAAGTACTGAGAGGTAAGTAAAAGGTGAAGAATGATGTCTTTTTAAATTTATGATAGCAAAGCTTGACAAAATCTGCAACACATCCTCGTTATCTGTATTTCTGACCTGTCCCAACTCCACAACTGCACAGCCTTCACATTCTTTTTAGGTTGTACAACTCACATGTTTCAGCTTTCTGCTCAGAAGCAATTCCAGGCCTCTAACCAGATAGAAAGTGCATAACTCCTACCTCACATGGATGAATCCTTTAGTCATTTTGTCATATCTTTTTACAGAATTGAAAGGGAGAAAATGTTCTGCGATTCCAAAGACTCACGCCCACAATCATGTGTTGGTTTTCTTTGCTTCAAATGGCAAATACAAGCTTCACTAAGTGAGCTGAGGTGAAGGAGATTTGACTTTCTCCTGTAAGTTGGTATTTAAGCCCTGGATATTTTTAGCTGAGGTGTTATTCTTCAAAGACAAATTGTTTATGGTTAAAATGCTGATCTTATTTTATATTCTGTACCACTGACCCCCATGCTGTTACTCACACATCTTTAAGCCTACCTTCGTGTGACATTGTGAAAGGGCACAGAGGAAAAAAAATCTGCTATGCTACTTTAATATATGCAACAATAACTGGATAAAACCTGCTCAAGATACAAAATAAAGCAATTTTTTTTTCTGTTAAAATAAAAAATATGGTGTAGTAGAATGGGAAATAGATCCGTTTCGTTCTTTTACCCATTCTAAATGTGATTTGTGCCACACAGAAGGTCTAATGCTGCCAAGAAAAAAAAGACAAGATGAAAGACATCTTCTATTCAAGATTTTGCTAACATGTTTTAGTCACTACAGTACATAATGTTCTAAGCATATGCCAGAAACCATAATCACCATTAATTATAATTCTAAAGCACATTTAATAACAGTTATTGAAAAATACCTGTTGGTTCCTTGACTGAACACTTCAGAGAGACTGAAGCCTTTTTAGATCAGAATAATCCATAGGAAAAACTCACACCAGTGTGTGTTAATAGTTACATAAAAGTATTTCCATACGTGCAAAAAAGGTCAACAAGCAACAATGCTACTGACAGAAAATAAAGTTTTCTAGCGTTGCCTGGTGTCCACTTTTGCATACAGCAGAATTCACAGCTTCTCCAGAATGCCTTAAGTCAACATAGGTGTAAATAAACTTTGTGACCAAAGTAACAGTTGTCATGTTTATACTGCACTTCAAATTGAAGCATTCTGCTTTGGCAGCCAGTGTAAATTCCACACGAGTCCCGCTGAAGTTCAAAGTAAAACGTCAGATACTACACCTCATAGAGATCCCAGAAGGCTTTTGTTTTTATTGCTTTTGCTGTGCTCTTCAACTTTTTGTCCTGATCAGGCATTGTGCATCATTATTATCATGATGGGGTTAAAAACTCTTTTCCTTAAAAGCAAAGTAGATACAGAGAATTATATCACTGCAGCAAAAGGAGCACATGTTTACTTCCAGAATCAACCGATACTGGTTTTAGAAAAAAAAAAACAAAACAACTTTGCCATTTTCTCAGCATGAAGCCTTGGGCATTATATCAGGATACCCTTTGAAATTCCAGATATTAATAAGAAAGCTTTTAACCTAACATACAGAAACCTTGGTTTTCCAACACATGCATAGACAATACTGTCTTGCTCTTTCATGTATTTTTTTATTATGACTTTTCCTTTTATTTCATCTTCTTGCCATTATTTCTCTCTGTGAATTGGCTGCTTATGTTACAGCAATGCTTACAAACTAACATCAAGGTTGTCAACAACAAGCTGTTGTCCAGACAACAGAGAATTTAATAGTTATATTATCCAAATAAACAAGTCAAATGAAGGGTAGAAAAAGGAGGTATCTGACAAAAAAATGAGATGCATACAGTGAGTTGAGAGATGAGATTCTCTCCCTCTACTTGGCTCTCCTGAGACCCCACCTGGACTACTGCATGCAGCTCTGGGGCTCCCATCAGCACAACAGGGACCTGCTGGAGTGAGTCCAGACGGCTATAAACAGGATCAGAGGGCTGGAGCACCTCCCCTGTGCTGAGAGAAGCTGGGGGGGGCGGGGGGGTTGTTTGGTCTGGAGAAAAGAAGGCTCCAAGGGAGATATCCAGCAGCAGCCCACTGCCTAAAGGGGTCTACAGAAGAGTTGGAAAGGGACTTTTAACTTGGGTATGTGGTCTTAGGACAAGGGGATGATGACTTTACACCAAAAAAAGTCAGGTTTAGATTATATATCAGGAGGAAATTCTTTACTGTGAGGGTGATGAGGTACCAGAACAGGTTGCCCAGAGAAGTTGTGGACATCCCTGGAAGTGTCCAAGGTCAAGCTGGATGGGGCTGTGATCAATCTGCTGTATGGTGACAGGTGCCTCTGCCATGGCAGAGACTTGGAACTCAATGATCTTAAGGTGTCTTCCAACCTCAACCATTCTGTGAATCTATGACCACACAGTCAGTCAAAGAATAACAGAAATTTTCAGCAGTTTAGAATCTAGGTCTTCTCAATGTTTTATACCAAACCTACCTGCTTTCCTGGCAGTGGGACACACAGCTTCTTTCCACAGATGAGCAGATCTGTAGGGCATGGCCTCATCAGGGCCATTAGCACACATTAAATCCCTGCATAAAAACATTCAATCTGTAGGTCTGACTTCCCACAAAAGCCCTGACCTACTCACTTTCACAGTACACAACACCTGTTCACTGAAAATCTTCTAAAGCCCTAGAAAAATACAGAAAGACGTGGAAAGAGGATACTCAAGAGGAATCTCTTGCTGCAACAAAAGCAACTATATTGATACAGATCCTTCTCTGAGTGAAAAAAAAAAAAAAAAGAATGGTCAGGCACAGGCTGGGGCTTTAGAATTACCCTGGAGAATTACATACAGCAGTAGCATGGTAGAGCACTTTCAATTTAAAAACCATAGATATAATACCACTGTCTGATCCTTTCCACCTATTTTACTGTTCACTAAACATGGACTGTTTGGATGTTCGCTTTGGTGTGTCCTTAAGAGGATTTTCTGTATCAAACCTGATGGCCTCCTTTTCTTGCTGTGCAATGTAGAATTCCTCTGCTACTGGTTTTTACTTCTCCTCCTCATAAAGGCAAAGAAGAAGAAGAAAACTGGTCATGAAACAAAAGCATTGTAAACTACCAGAAGCTACTCCTTCCCAAATGAACATCAGAGTAATTTTTCCAGTTATACAATCTCACATCACAGAGCTACCCAAAATGCAACTATTGACAGTATGAACTCGTGCCCTGTATTAAATCCCTCTCGGAAGTGGCCTGTAAGCCCAGTTCATCCATGTCTAGTCTTTTAAACAAGCCTTTATCCTACTACAGGGAATCATTGATCTGGATCCACAAGAAACTTCTCTCCTCTCTTCCATGTATCTGCTCAAGAAGGTTATTAAAAAACATCCCAGAATGTTTCTGTGGCACCAGTTATTACCAGGGAAGGAATATAAACAGGATTTGTTCCACTACTCAGCAGACAAAACTACTGAGTTCAGACTAAACTGAATGCATTTTGCTCAAAGCATTTACTTCCTTTGCTTCAAGAGCATTAAAAGTTAAGAGAAGACATGCACATTGCTAAGCACATTAAGAATCTTCAGGAGTAAGAATTTCCATGTATTATTTCAGTGCCATTCTTATATCATCTCCCCAGTACCCTGTCCATTTGGAATATTACTGAGGCATGACACAATGCAATAAGCACCTCACATTTGCACAGTGGGAAATACTGTGAAACTCACAAATTGTCTACTTGACCATGAGTATCTGTGCACAAAGAACAGATTTCAACCAATTAAAGAACAACCAAACCACACACAAATAACTTGTTCATAAGCAAACAGAGTTAAATCTTAAAATTTTTAGCATCCTGTGAAATCCTTGGGTTAACTCTCCAAACCACAAAGAGCAGGATTCCCACTATGGCTAAAATTTAATCCAGAACTGTTAGGTTTTAGTGATTATTTAGAACATTTTACAACTGTCAACCAAACTTACTTTAGGGCTGTCATTCCAATTCTAGTGCTACCTTGGTAAAGATGAAACAGAATAACAGAGGACAAATATTTTAAAGGTTTGTTGCCATTACAGATCTAAAAGTCCCTGTGCAGAATTTAACCTGATAAACATCAAGCCACATTCCCTTCACTGCTGCTGAGAATGAAGGGACACTGGTCACTCAAGGATACAGCACTCACCCAGCTCTGAGGACTCACCCTGAGGTTACCTCTCTGTTTCCTAGAGGCCAACAAGTCAGCACAGGTCAGGAAGCCCTTCAGGAAAGAGGCCAGCTCTGGCCACAAACTGACCCTGCAGTGACCTCTTTAGTCTGTCAGCCCAGCATTATCTCAGATGCACTGGACTGGGAAACCTGATTCAGGTTACAAATAATCTCTCCTACTTTAGCCCTACTGTACAAGGGCAGGGACAACATGCAGAAAGGAGGATTTATCCATGCAGCTTAGAATGTTATGCCCTTCACTTTACTACAGAGATTAGACTAATTAATTAACAGCCAGCTGCCAGTGAAAATGGCTTTCCCCATTCCTTCCCTTCCACCAGCAATTCTTCTCTACTTCTTCAGCTGACCTGACCCAAACCTGAGCCAGTTTAGAGAGCTAAACACACAGAAAACAATATACTTCCATTTATATTGTTACTTTCCTACCAGTTTAGCTCACTGGCACAGGTGAGTGGCCCTGCTGACAGGGCAGGAATGCACAGGTGTAAATCAAGGGAGAAGAGCAGAAAGCCCCTTCCATCAGCCGCCAGTCATTAAACCAGGTAGGTATATTAGCACCATGAGTGAGGGTGCTAATATAAACAGACAGAAACAACTAAACAAACAGAAACAACTCCATTTTCCTTCTATCAGCCAGAAACCTGAGAGAAAACAGATATTAATATTTCCTTACCTATTCTCACAGTTATCTGACTTTCTTGAAGTCACCAAATAAGTTCCCACCCCATGTTTCTTCTTTACTCGTGCCAGCAGAAATGTCCATGGATTCCATGGAGCCAGGCTATTCACTGTCCTCATAACTATCCCCCTGCTATGACACCAGCCATGAGGAATGTGTAAGAAACACACCAAACATCTCTCACTAGTTGTGCCAAATAAAAACTGAAATCAGACAACTCTTTTGAAGAACAGAGACACATTAGGAGAAAAATGCCTTTACAGCACAGTCTCATTTAATTCCATTTAAGACAATGGAATTAGAGCAATAGTAATGCATTCATTTTAACTGGGGATAATTACATTTAATTACTTATGCTGATTCAATTACACAGGAAGAGAGATGCATTCTGACAGCACTGGAATGCAGGACAGGACAAGAAATGCTCCAAGAACCCCATCAGAAATGAAAGAATCCACATGATGAGAAACAGGAGACAAAGGAATTACCCCAGACTTGATCTGCGGCCCAGTCTAGTATCTGTCCCAGATGACATAAGCACATAAGATTCAGAAGGTAAAAACAAGCCCCAAAACAGACAAAACCAAAGAAGTGTTGGAGGATGAATCTACCCCCACTGACTACAGTGCAATGGTCTCTTCAACAAGAAGATGTCTCACATTCTTTAAAATCTTTACTAGCAATAACTAGTGGATATGGATAATTTGTAAGCCAACTAGTTTCTAGATTTTTCCCTTGAACTCCTTTCTTAATCACTGCAGTGGCTGAATTCCACTGTCTAATCATACACAGGATAACAGGCTTAGGGTGGATAAAGAAGCAGTAGATATGGTGGCTTTAATAAGACTTTTGATGCTGTTGCTGGATAGGAATGTATCTAATACCCCATCTAATACCATAACCAGGGTCAGATGAAGGTCAGGTGAAAATTCACTTCCTAAAAGAGAAATTAGATATATATTATTATTGAAACAGAAATTTATTTCAAACATGGCCAAAATAATGGCAAAGGAAGCATCAAAGGTGATGAAAAATTCCCAAAAGGTACTTTTCCTTATCTAGTCTGGTGGGGAAAAAAGGGACTTCTGGCTGGCTTCCCCTCTTGTTCTCAAAGAGCATGGCAGTCATAACAGATCCCCACCAGTGATAGCCTATGTCTAGGAAATTGTATTGAAGAACCCACATAGACAATGTCTGAAGAATATTTCTTTCATTTCATTAACTGAATCAATATGGAAATCCATGTGTTTCTTACACACAAAAACTTCCACACACATATATATGCCTCAATTTTTCTTTAATTAATTCTTTGGAGATTCTCTAAAGGTTAACAAGAGTAAGGTCCTTCCTTGTTTTCCTGACAAATGAAAACTTAATTTAAGCTACTGCTGGTTTAGGATTGTTTGTCTTTTGC